CGGGGAATCGAAACCACACCGGTTGACTCAATGACAAACCTTATGATACAGCGTGCACGTGCTAACCATTCGGCCATCCAAACCCCCAAACAACATTGAACGTGATATATATGTATGGTTTGCAAATACTATTTCAAATACGGTGCCTAAGTGGGTAAGACGCTGGCTCACTAGCCTGGAGATCGGGTGTTTGATCCCTGCATTGGCCAAGAAAGTTCATCCAGATTTTCCGGCGTGGTTCCCCGTTGTCAATGATGCAGGACGGAGGACCTGACAAGGACTGCTGTTTAGTCGTTCGGATGGGACTGGCGTGCATGTAAAAGATCCCTGGACAATTGGAATCCGATATAGTGCTGCTGTCCGGGCGAAATTTCCCTCAAAGCGCACTGTATGGTGTATGCCCGTCTTCATTAGCTCAGTTCTGAGTGGGACGTGAAACCTCATTTCATTTCATTTTCTATTTCAAACATAAGCTGAACAGCAATTGTTCATTTTTTTTTAAGACAAGTGCAGGATTTAGAGAATTTTGTTTGATTTTTTTTTACAGTTGAGCCAATTAATATTTATATACTGTTAGTCTATATTAACTCTCTCTCTCTCTCTCCAAATTTCAGCACTCCTTCCAACCTTCACCCAGACGAAGAATGAGTCGTTTATATCAACATAATGGTCCCGACCAGGTGCGCAATCACCAAATGAACACGCAGTGGCGACACCAAACGACTTCATAATGATGGTTGCTAGGCAGAAGTGTAAAAATTAAGAAGACGTTTTTCGTCTAAATAATAGAAATAAGTTGGAATAGAATTAAAATTTACACTGAACAAATAAAGAAGTTGGATTATACATTGTCTTAATTTAAAAATTACATGAACAGAAGTTAGAAATTACATAAATAGAAGTTAACAAGCCAACAGTGAGGCTGATGTCCCCCGCCGAAATAGGAAAATAATTAGAGGACACATATAAATTTATCACAAATTATCTTTTACAAAGTATTGAACAATCAAACAGTATATCTTTACTTCCAAAGTCTCGACCAATCAAATTGCGTATCGCTCTGCTTACCCTGAGCAGAAAATGCTCATTATCAAACTTAGTCAAGGTATTACTGTAATGAAACTATACACCAAGTTTCATCAATCTCACTTAATTAGAACTAAAGTTATCGTGTCCCAAAGCATCAACCAATCAAATTGCTTATCTCTGCTTACCCTAAGCGGAAAATGCTCATCTTCGAACTCCATCAAGGCATTGACCTAATCAACACATACACCAAGTTTGAACATTCTAGCTCAATTAGGAAGAGAGTTATCGTGCCCCAAAGTATCAACCAATCAAATTGCTTATCTCTGCTTACCCTAAGCGGAAAATGCTCATCTTCGAACTCCATCAAGGCATTGACCTAATAAACACATACACCAAGTTTGAACATTCTAGCTCAATTAAAAGTTATCGTGTCCCAAAGCATCAACCAATCAAATTGCTTATCTCTGCTTATCCTAAGCGGAAAATGCTCATCTTCGAACTCCATCAAGGCATTGACCTAATCAACACATACACCAAGTTTGAACATTCTAGCCCAATTAGGAAGAGAGTTATCGTGTCCCAAAGCATCAACTAATCAAATTGCTTATCTCTGCTTACCCTAAGCGGAAAATGCTCATCTTCGAACTCCATCAAGGCATTGACCTAATAAACACATACACCAAGTTTGAACATTCTAGCTCAATTAGGAAGAGAGTTATTGTGTCCCAAAAAGTGTGACGGACAGACAGACGGACGGACGGACAGACGGACAGACAGAAGGACAGACAGACAGACAGACAGACGGACGAACCCATTTTAATAGTCCCCTGCTTTCTTCGAAAGGCGGGGGAAAATTGCTTATCTCTGCTTACCCTAAGCGGAAAATGCTCATCTTCGAACTCCATCAAGGCATTGACCTAATCAACACATACACCAAGTTTGAACATTCTAGCTCAATTAGGAAGAGAGTTATCGTGCCCCAAAGTATCAACCAATCAAATTGCTTATCTCTGCTTACCCTAAGCGGAAAATGCTCATCTTCGAACTCCATCAAGGCATTGACCTAATAAACACATACACCAAGTTTGAACATTCTAGCTCAATTAGGAAGAGAGTTATCGTGCCCCAAAGTATCAACCAATCAAATTGCTTATCTCTGCTTACCCTAAGCGGAAAATGCTCATCTTCGAACTCCATCAAGGCATTGACCTAATAAACACATACACCAAGTTTGAACATTCTAGCTCAATTAAAAGTTATCGTGTCCCAAAGCATCAACCAATCAAATTGCTTATCTCTGCTTACCCTAAGCGGAAAATGCTCATCTTCGAACTCCATCAAGGCATTGACCTAATCAACACATACACCAAGTTTGAACATTCTAGCCCAATTAGGAAGAGAGTTATCGTGTCCCAAAGCATCAACCAATCAAATTGCTTATCTCTGCTTACCCTAAGCGGAAAATGCTCATCTTCGAACTCCATCAAGGCATTGACCTAATAAACACATACACCAAGTTTGAACATTCTAGCTCAATTAGGAAGAGAGTTATTGTGTCCCAAAAAGTGTGACGGACAGACAGACGGACGGACAGACAGACGGACAGACAGAAGGACAGACAGACAGACAGACAGACGGACGAACCCATTTTAATAGTCCCCTGCTTTCTTCGAAAGGCGGGGGACAAAAATTACATCAACAGAAGTTAGACAAAAGCACGTTAGAATTTTGAATCTAATATACCGCCATAGGTCGTAGCATACTCGGGAGGTCATATAACTAATCATTTGTTATACTTTACAACCAATCGTAATGGCTTACAGTAGTGCCGTGTTCTATATACAGGTCTGTATGTATAGGTTATGGATATTTTACGCTTTATTCATGGTGTCTGTATACAGCAACCACTCTATTGAATTATTATACACGCCGGTTACATGACATCTGAAAACAACTAACATAATCTGCGTCTGGTATACATGTATTATATTTTAGATACATGTAGGTCCTTCATACTATAATGAATATTACAATGGTGTGCACGTAATCTAATGCTTTCTTAAACTGAATCTTTTTAAACATGCGTACACGATCAGTGGAATTTTAGCTATAAAAGATGATACAATGGACGATTTATCGCGATTTAAGGGCGGTTAGATGCGCCCACAAGATTTTCAAAGGTTATAATGAGCAATAACTCTGAAAATAAACAGACTTCTTCGTCTCGTGACCTTAAACATTGAGTATAGATATCAAGTAAATCGTATAACTTTGGTCTCTAGAGCGCACAGACTGGTTTTCAAAGAGATCAAGGGTCATAACTCAAGCAGTAACTATCGGAAATCGTTGAAAATCAAAAGGGTTTATTGTCTCATAAACGTTACCAATTTGTATGAATTTGAAGTCAGTCATTATAATCATATATAAACTTAAAGATACATTATGGGAGATTTCTATAAGGAGTTAGCCATTCTTGCTATAATAGTTCAAAAATAGATGATGAAAGAAGAATATATTGAAAATTTCAGTCAAATTACTTTATTCTGAACATAGTTATCACCAGTGTAATTTTTGACTAGAAATGGGATTGAATTCCATCTTCACCGATTCTTAGTATGGCCGATCGTTTGATTGACAGACGTTAACTCCACCTACATAATCTCTGCTGTCTTTTGTCTGCTGTCATCATATCCGAATTTGTGTTTTACCTTTTTTGATTTTTATAACAATTGGACAAAATGAGTGAGAGTAAATTTTCATTCTTACTTGTGTTTTGGGCATGCATTAAATCAATTGAATATAGGACATAATATTATAATACAATTATGATAAATCTATAGGTAGCCTATACACCAGTGGCGTCGTGCCACTGGTATTGATAATATTGATATTATTAAGACAGAAGACCTGTCCGTCTGTATTAGTCACCACACGGTCTCCAGGAATTGTATAACTTGTCATTATCTGTGTTTAGTTTATTGCACTTTAAATAGTTTAGATGTCATTTGTTAAGGCATTGCTCAACAGCGGCCTCGATTCGTACACTCTATCATTTAGCCTCGATCCGGGAGTATGACGTCAACGTTACGGTTAATCTCCGCTCACGACGCCATTTAAAATTAAATCAGTCAACGAAATCCCGTTTAAATCCAAGCTGAATCCAAGTCATCCGCGGGTCTACAGGGTTGATTTTGTGCTTGTGTAAATAAAGATCTAATTTATAATTTCTATGACATCTGAAGCCTAAATAAAGACTTGCAATAATCAGATTTAGCTCTTGCATAATGTATGTTTAAGCGTCTAGAGCGTCCAAAATATTTTTCAAAGTGATCAATGACAACTCTGGCAGTATTAAAAATCGTTAAAAATCAAGGGCTTTTCGTTTCATGACCTTAACAAAGTCAGTCGGATGATAACGTTAGCCTTCACAAGATATTTTCAAAGTGATCAAGGACCACAACTCTGACAGTAATTATTGGAAATCAATAGGCTATTATAGTCTGAAGCATTGACAACATATTCCATTTCGCAGTAGTATATGTCGACATAGCGCAGTGTAATGGCGATAAATGGAATTGACAAAAACTTCATAACGCAAACAATGGCGACATACAACATAGCGTGTTGAAAAAAAAATTAACTCGGCAAATTTGTCTTTTGAGAGGGGTAATATCATCGCAATGATCACAATCTTTTACATTATTGACCCATTTACGCTTCATATAACACCATATTGAGGTGAGTGGGAGGATATGACAATAAATTATATAAGTTTCTTTATCAAAAATATGATGCAGTATATATAAGTCTTGCATAAGGCAACAAATTTATGGGTCAATATTCAGTTATGTACCGTTATCACGTACCTGTTTTTATCTGTAGCGTGACAATACTTTACGTGTTACAATATCCTAATCATATAGCTGAACGAGTAATAATCCATGTACTGTTTGTCTAAAGCTAATACTTACCAAATCAGGTTTTAAGTCTACAATGACATAACCATGGTGAAAATCTCACTAGAATACCGTGTTAAAAGACCGCTATTTAAACAACTAGAAAGATAACCGGATATCAGCTATATAGGTTATGTAATCATGGTCACGTGATCCCGTTATGTGTAAATGCTCGAAATTATTTATTTAAGATTGTATTTTAAATATGAATATTGCCATAGTTGTATCTTAAAAATAGATGGCTCTTGTGGAAAACGAAATAAGGAAAATATGTTATATGTTTCGGGATGACTGTCTTCATTAGCCTAGTCGTTGCAGAAAAGTAGGACGTTAAACCCCATTTCATCGTTTCGCGGTGAATTTAGATATTTTTCACACCAGTGACTAATTATAAAGTTAAGCCCAACCATACATGTGTGCAAATCGTACAATTAAATATTAATTTAATCGGTAAAAACAATAATTTGCAAATCAATTTGTTAATTACTGTGATGTTTTAATGAAGCAATTCCCATGGAAGCAGTGGTACTGGGTTTTTTTTGCAGAACAAATTGACATTTTAAGTATGAAAGTACACAGTTCACTAAGCACGCCATTGTGTACATACATGACATCCTTAATCATAATGGTACAGTGGCACGTGTAGGCTCGCCTTGTCTGGATGACGGCTTCCAGCCCGCACCTCACGACTCCTGTGAAATGTCGATTCTGAACAAAGGACAACCGTTGCGATTCCCTTTATAATGCACAGTTCTTGAAAATTCTATACATGTAGATCCAACGACAAATGCTATCTCATTGTGCTGTCGTCCATGTAAATAGGCTTTGTGGCGAGACAATGCGAATATACTGTCACCTGTAAGATTGTCTGTGTAACACTACAGGTAACAGAACATCAGCATAATGATAAAAACTTTATAACCAACATAAAATGGAAATAAGTCGGACGAAACTCCATTCCAAGTCTGTTTAACTGTCAGCAAACAGTTCACCAAATAGACACAAAAGAAATAAAATAAACCAATGAATATGCATAATCTATCCATCTATTTCGGCCATTTTCTGGTGCATTCATATTTTCATAACTTGAAAAAAAAAAGATTAAAGTTGAAGTGGGGCAGGTGTGTAATTAAATTAAATATTCGGGACTTAAATTCATTAATTGTTGGGCACAATGCATATATACTTTTAAAAAAATGATTCAAATTTAAATAGCCTGTTATAAAATTTAAAAGCCGAGGGGGGGGGGGGGATAAGTGTCTTAATAGGAAATTCCAGTTATCGTGCGTGTTTCTATAGCTCCTTGAATCTGTTAGTTATTTCCTGGCACATTCATAGTTTAGAGAGAAAATAAAATCCTCGTTGCCTTGTCGACATAACGACGATTTTAAAAATCGTACTGAACCCGTCCTACATAATGGCCGTGTAAACGTATGGAATATGTACGCAAATAGTGTTAAAGTATGTAATATCAAGGTCACCACTTTGACCCGTTTTTGGTGGCTGTATGTATGTCGAAAGAAATATACATCTCAACTGAAGGTGAAAAAACCTGACTATCCCGGAGTCGGTGTATTTAAAAGATCTCATTGACTTCATTTCTATTTTTATACATTGTGTAAATACTGACAAATAGACGGTATGAGATATATACATATTATTTTGAAGGGTGATTTGATATGGTGTAATGACTGCAAATAATGACAAAAATGGGGGTATTGCTACATCCTGTGTGTATTTATTTCTATTCTTATTTTTTTTAAATGATGCAACAATTGGTTCAAAAATGGGGCCGATGGTATTAACATGTTAATTTAAAGGACTTCGTATTTAATTTAAAGGAGCTAAATCGCTAATATTAGGAAAACAGAAATTGACACAAATGATCGCAACGCATATAATAATGTAGTATGAATGTATATAAACTGATTTACATTCAATCGTTTCCATTTTCACTCTCATTTCAAATCAATTATGTTCGGTGAAAAACGCCAGAAGTCTCAATCGAATGGCAATCTTTAGCGTCTGGTTATTCCAGTCTACGCCGTTAGTATTTATTGTGCATGCTCTCCAGATAAGAATATGAGATCACCGGTTGACATGACTTGTGGAATGTCTAGCCTCGTTCTTCTAGTCCTTTGTTACAAATGGCGATGAAATGCATTATGGTGCACGATTCGTGTACCCATGCTAAAATGTTTATTTTGTCTTAAATATTGGATATCAGAAGCCCATCTTTTCTCAGTAAGATCACAACATCAATGTTGATTTAAATTGGCAGATATTTCGTGTTTTCAATGTCAAAGACTTTGGATGATATTGAGTTGGAGACTTAGCTACATTAAAACAGAGTTCAAAATTATAAAATATGCGAACAGTGGGCCACATGCCAAAATTTTGTCTTATCGATCGAGATTTAAGGCTTAGTTAAAATTCAGAAATGTACTAGAACGAAATAAATATTATCATTAAAGAATTCTACCAGTCACACATGGTGCGTATTGTTACCGCGCCACCCGTAGTAGTATAAATACCAAACAAGGATGATTCACAGAATTTTGTCTTTTTTTCCCATATACCACTAATCGCCTTTTATATGCCCACAAAGTGTTGTATGAGAATGCAAGATCCACAAATTCTCGTCTGCACTCGACACCCTAAATATCTGTACGGATATTTTCAAATTTATTATCGAAGAAAGCAGGGGACTATTAAAATGGGTCTGTCTGTCACACTTTTAATTGAGGTAGAATGGTTAGACTTGATGGAGATGTTCATTAGGCGAATGTCATGACCGAGTTCAATGATTAACATAAGATAACTTTGACTCTAACCGATGGAGACTGATGAAACTTAGTGTATAGTTTCACTACCAGGTACTTTAATCGTGAACATCTTATACTTGGACTAACTATATATTGGCGGATAAGTAAGATCTGGTTGAAAACAGGCAAACTATTTTATGTATTTACCAGTAAATTATCCAACGAATGACTCAATGTTTTATTATATGATATATAGACTCTAAATCTTAAATTGACGACAATCATGTAGATTATAAACTTTTGATGCATTTTGCTTCGATTTCATAGACGACCTGAAAAAATCTCACCCGAGTGAAGACAATGTCATCTAACTATCTTGCGTCTTAAAGGACAATATTAGTGCCAGTCATTATCACATATATGATTGAGCTGGTTAAACACAATCCATATCACTCGTCACATCAGTCAGTTATATAGAGGTATGACTCGTGTTTTCCTTTGGCGTTCGTCACTTCCGATTCAGGAAACCTGTATTACTCAGCTATCGTAGCAATGATCTCTGTGTTAAAATTATATTTGGAATGTGTTTAATCAGCTCTATCACATACATGTATGTGATAATGACTGGCACCAATATTGTCCTTTAATTTATCGTCTGCTAAAATCCATTATCAACTTGCCTAAAAATAGAAATAAGCGCTCGAAACCTCGTGGGTTTCCTCCGGTTCCGCCCAAAGAAATTATTGAAATTGAACTAGGCCTATATGATTGTTAGTCCCGAAATGACGGAGTGGACGTTAAATCCCATCTCTCTCTCTCTCTCTCTCTCCCTCTCTCTGTCATGAACCAAATACTGTACACCAAATCTGAAAAAGACTAGTTAAAAGACGGTAGCCACGATCACATTCACAGTGGTTTTGTGTAAGGGGGCATACACTGATTATTGATAAGGTTCATCATCTTCTGATCCCAATGTCCCAACCCAAATTTGAAATAAAAATTTGTTAAGATATAGCTATTATCGCTTTTACAAGGGGCATGACACTGAATGAAACAGATCTGAGATCTTTTATCCTTCATCTAAATCCGACAAAAATTGAGGGTTCACAAATTTTGTACATCTTTCACATTTTACGTTAAAGTCAGGGGGCATAACTCTGGATCCGAAAGTCTGATTCACACCAAAATCATTTGTTTCTCAACGCACACCTCAGGGTTCATCTAAAATTGTTAGCTTTAGAGGATCCACAACATTGGTATACGTATTAAATACTTTTCCACTCAGTGCGTAGTCGCGGTCACTCAGAACCTACTAGTCTTTAACGCACGGAGGTAAGGGTGGGTTGTCATCCTTTGTCATAATGAGAAACGCTCGACTCCATAGACCAACATGCTCAACAAACGATTACTCAACTGAGAAAAGAACTTTATCAATATTGTTATTACTGCTGGCAGGAGACATTTAAACAAACTTAAGACCACGTAATGCAAGTATTTACCCATGTGGCATGTGTGAGTACCCAGTTACTTGGACCTGCGAAGGCGTCTGTTGTGACAGTTGCAACATATGGCACCATAGATCACGCATAGAACTAGGCCCAGCAGACTACAGTATACTCCATCGATCCAATGTCCAATGGTTATGCTGTGCAGATGCGAAAGCATCAACGTTGATTCGTTTACTTTTAGAAGTTATGTCACTGAATCCAACCATTACTCGCCACTCCATGACCTAATCTTCACTTCGAATGCCTCCCTGGTGAAGAGCTGTTCTACAGTACCTGGTATATCAGACCATGACATTGTTGTCGTTGACTCTGACACCAAGCCTCACTACAACAGTCAGAAACCTAGAAAGTACCACCAATTCAAGAAGGCCAACTGGGACAAATTGAGAAGAGACTGCCAAGAAATATCGAGTAAGATTGTTTCATTGTACCACCAAGACTCAGGTGCTGAGCATCTGTGGAACTTGTTCAAGTCATCCTTACATCAGGCCATAGAGGTAAACATCCCGACTAGGTCCGAAAGACGACTAAACACTCCCCCATGACTTAATCGACAATTAAAACGTATGCTACGGAAAAAAAGCCTCCTGCATCACCAAGCACGTAAAACTAAGATCTGGAGTAATTACACACAATACCAGAGGGAATGCAAGCGCGCATTCAGGCAAGCAGAATGGTCATACATCAACGAAACCATTCTGGAAATACGTGAAGTCGAAGTAACAAGACAACATCGGTGTCTCCCCACTAAAGAGTAAAGTGGGCGGCATGGAGTGCCTCAAGGGACTGTACTAGGTCCCCTATTATTCCTTTGCCATGTGAATGACATGTGAGATGCTGTTAAATCAACAATACGTCTCTTTGCCGA